TTGTTTTTCTATGGCATCAAACTATAATTCACGTTTAAAACCTGCAGAAGTTTTATTAATTGATGATAAAGATTATTTAATTCGTCGTCGTGAAACAATTCAAGATTTAATTACTACAACAGAAGATATAAAATTCTAAAAATATCATTTATAATAAAGAAGCTCAATCCTAGGATTGAGCTTTTATGTATATTTTTAGAAATGTTTTTTCTTACTAAAAAAAATAGTATGTATAATCTCTAAAGCAAGATTTTCACTAACACTTTTTTTATCATCATATTCATAAAGAATTTTATCATCTTGATTTTCTAAAGGAGTAAAAAAACGTATACTATTTGTTTGATTAAATAAATTATTTTTTATTAACTCTTTACTCATTTTTATGGATAAATCTTGTTTATAAGTATGACTTAAATATTTATTTGTTTGATTAAAAGAAAATGATAACTTATTATTTTTATCAAAATTATCTTGAGCAAATGTTAATAATGGTAAAAAAATAATAAATAAATTCTTCATAATGCAATATCAAATAATACTACAAGTTACAAAAATATCTTTTATACATTATTTTATTCTTTAAAAGCTTTCATACGTCCAACCATAATAATCATAATAAGTCCAAAACATGCAAACAATGCATAAGAATATCTCAGATCAAATAGTTCAGCTATATACCCAATTAACGGAGGTCCCATTAAAAAACCTAGGAAAGAAACACTAGATACTGTTGCTAATGCAACACCAGCAGCTCCTTTTGTACTTTTTGCAGCAACACTATAAACTGTTGGTACGTTACAAGCAACTCCTAAACCTACCATCATAAAAGCAAGTGTACAAACAATAAGTTGAGGAAAAAAACTGCAAGTAATAATCCAGATGACATAAAAAACCATAATTGCATAATGACGTTTTTTAACCATATTTACTTTAAAATAGTCTCCAATAAAACGTCCTGTAGCCATCATTACCATAAAAGATGCATATCCTACAACTACTAAATTTTCAGGAGCCTTAACTATATCCTGAAAATAAACTCCACTCCAATCAAACATAGCTCCTTCAGTAGCCATACTTAAAAAACCAATAATACCTAGCTGAACAAGAACTCCTTCTGGTTTAGAAAAAAAAGATTTTTTTTCAGTTGTTTTTACTGCACCTGTTGAGTTTAGTAAAAACTTAGAATTAATCAACCAATTAACTATTATAATACAATAAATAATTATAAAATGTATTGGAGTGCCTATATTCAAATTCATCATTAATAAACCTATCAATGCGCCAGTAAAACCAGCTATACTCCATGCTCCATGAAAAGAAGACATGATTG